AACAAGTATTCTGCTGGGAAACAGAAAAACAAAGATAATGTGGGCAGGGGATTTAGGTCAATGGTGCCGCCGCCTGCCTCACAAGCGCAAGGGTCCCGAGTTAGATCCCCGATACCAAAAAAACAGAAGTGATCTCTGCTTTCCAATAGTCACAAATAGAAGAAGCAGTTTAAGGAAACAAAAGTACAAAATAAAAGCATTATAATTCCATTTAATAAACGTTACTTAGAACTTGGCAATATGATAGCAAGGAGCTTTCATACTTTTTAAAAACCTGGACTCAGGGCCCGGGATTTAGCTCAGTGGTTTCGCCCCTTGCTGCGCAAGCGCAAGGACCTGAGTTCAATCCCTGGTACCAAAAAAAAAAAAAAAATCTGGACCCACAGGGAGAAATACATTCTACATTACAAACACGTATCAGAGGACCCTGATCATCTTTGCTACATGTAATGTACCTTAACCTTTTTCTATTTTCTCCTTGTTGGTGTCCTACCTCAATGAATTTACTACCAATAATGAGTGACTCCCTGCATTGTGGAAAAAAATACTGTACTAGCTAGAGCATACAAGAAGCAGTATATGATCCTAATAGAAAGATCGAAGGTTAGGTAGATTCTGGTCAAAGGATATAAAATTTCAGGTACAGCAGTTAGATTCAGGAGATTATAACATAGTGACCATAGTTAATAATGAGGTATTGTATATTTGAAACCTGCTAAGAGAGTAGACTTTAAGTGTTCTCACCACAAAAAAAGGTAAGAGATATGCTAACTTGCTTGATTCAGTCATCCCACAATGCATACATATAGCAAGATATGTATATCATAAACATGTACATTTTATTGTTAATTTTTTTAAAATCACAAATTTTTTAACCAGAAAACTTGACTCTGTTTTTGTTTTTGGTACCGGGAATTGAACTCAGGACCTTTTGCTTCCCAGGCAGGCAGGGCACCACTGAGCTAAATCCCCAGCACAACTTGACTCTTTTTTTTTTTTTTTGGTACCGAGGATCAAACTTGGGACCTTGCGCTTGCGAGGCAGGCACCGGAACCACTGAGCTAAATCCCCTGGCCCTCCTGCAATTCTCTTTAAGAGAAACAACTTACAGTGGAAACATTCTGTATGTGACTATTCTTTTGGCATTCCAGGGCAGTTTCTCCTAAACTCCCAGCAAAAAAGAATTCCCCTCATATCAAAAACTGAATGACCAGTAGTAAGAAAGAGGCTAGAAATCAGTTTGCTGCAGGAACATGTTACTAATAAAAGTATTAATTATCTGTTGCTACCATCTTAGTCACTTTGCTCTCACTGAGATACAATATGCAACACCCACAGAGTAAAGGAAGAAAGCTTTCTTTTGGCTCACATTTACAGTCCATGATTGGCTGGCTGCCAGGCAGGACAGCATGGCAGAGGGGCATGGCAGAGGGGCATAGCAGAGGAGCATTTTTTGTGTCGTAGCCCACCCACCGGAACCAGAGAGAAGGGCGGTGCCATGAAGGGTGTTAAACCCTTCCAGCCCACACCCCGAGTGATGCTCCTCTTCTGACCAGACCCCACCTCTGAATAGCAAGCCAGCTACATGCCCCTATAATCCAGTCACCTTCCAAAAACCTCAACACCTGAGTGCATGAGACTCTGTAGGGACGTCCTCGTGTAAACCACAACAGCTACATTAAAAAATTAACTGAGAACATAGCATCTTAGATCAAACATTTATTGTCTTGTCTTGAAGGTTCTGTGGTTTGGGAGATGGGAGTAACTTCACTGCATGCCTCTGACTCTCAAAAGGTCTCACAGGCTGCCTTCAGGATGTTAGCCACTGCTGAAGTTAGCGAAAACTTCACCTTGCAGAAGATTTGCCAAGTGCCATAGCTCTTAGAGGGGCTTGCAAACTGCACTTCGAAACTCAAGTTGTGTGGCTCTTGGCAGGTCTGCCTCTCCAGGTCTGTCTGTCACAGGTCTGCCTGAGTGCTGATCACAGCATGGCCGTTTGCTTCCCTAGAGCAAGGGCTCTGAAGGAGCAAGAGCAAGGCAGAAGTCAATCTTTTCAGGACCTAATCTTAGAAGTGGCATCCATTACTTTGCCGTTGTCTGTTAGAAGTAGGAGACTGGGCCCAGCCCACACTTAAAGGAAGGGGATGATACAAATAGGAAGAGACAGGGATCAGTGAGTGCTGTCTTAGAGACTGCTCACCACAGTGTACTCTAAATCTTCCTTCTTATGGCTACTCCACCTGGGAGGAACTAGACAGCCATTCTCATTATGAAATAGGGTAGTTCATGAATTTTAACTTAAAACCATGCCCGACATGATGGTGGCATGCAAAGGGTAGCTGTGCTTAAATAATAATACTTCATGATGTGACTAGCATGGATTTCTGGAATGACTGATTTTAAAAATTTCTTGTCTCTTTTTATTACTCTCTCTCTCTCTTTTTTTTTTTT